TCGAAAATAATCGAATCGTTGGGTCAGGAAATCGATACTGAATCGAATCGCCATGATGGATGTGATTTACACCCCTACGTGGGAACAGATGATTGTCTCCACCTTTGGTCTGGAGTTCTTCTGTTAAAGGTATTGTGGAGGATTTATACAAAGTCCCACCCTCTCCACTAAAAAAAAAAAAATAAAATGCACATGCACAACCCTGTACCCGCTCCGGAGAGGTAACGCCTATTAAACGTGTACAAGAGCGTGCATGAGCCCATTTCTCCTCGTGCACGCTCTGTTTAAAAGTTGCTTTTCTCATGGCTCATACAAGCTAACTGTGTCCGAACATCCGCCTTAACCCCTAAACCCCTCCATTTATATAGAGTGGGGACTATATAGCAGACTTGATAGCAAAGTCAGTGAACTGACCGTTCCAACAGATGATCACTGCTTTTTGCTCCCGAGTTACGTGAGTAACTCCTCCTCCACCGCGCGGTGTCTGCGCCATTTTTGTTATCAGTCGCCTCTGTGACAGGAAATCTCATAATGCTTTGCGAGGAGAGCTCTCCATGCAAAGCATTGTGGGATATATCTACCTCTTCTGAGGCCTTTCTTTTCTTCTAATACACTTCGTAGACATTTTTTCTCTTACGACCCTCGGCTGTTTTCAAAGAACCGCGGTGAGAAAGGCGAGCTTCAATGACTGTCTGAAATCATAGCTCACCACAGATCTACGTCTGAAAGTGCACAGAAAAAGGTAGCTAACGGGACGAGTACGTAGTACGGCCTTACATACGCATATCACCAGAATGATTGACAGATAGGAGGATCAGGGATTTAGATGATCCACCCGGATATAAAAGATCGCCCTCTATAAGCTTAGCTAGTTTGCGGGCTTTATTTATTTATTTTTTTTACTTGCAGTTGTTTTGCTACTAGCTGCATTTTTCCTCAGCCAGGAATTCTGTGTGTTGGCCACAGTTATTGAGTTGCGAGTTTTTCGTTAGCAGAATCTTTTTGCTTCTCTAATCTTTTCATTGCTACAGCTTTTTTTTAGCTTGCAGTTGTTTTTGCTCTTCATTTTTTTTGTTTTCATCCTAATTTCATGTTTTCTTGGCTATTTTTTTTAATTTGTAGGACCTAAATTTATT